TTGTTTTTATTTACTGACTGTTGTTTGTTTTTATTTACTGACTGTTGTTTGTTTTTATTTACTGACTGTTACTGTCTCTTTCCTGAACTTGTTGAGACCCCCCACCCCGGACCTTTAGACCGGAACATGGTCGCCCGCCTGCGCGTGACTGCCAGGTGGCACATCTACAGAACCGGGTCAGAGTTCTGTGAGAAGCAGCAGGTCAACGAAAAGGTTCTGGTTCTGAGGTTGGAAAACTTTAGAAACCTGTTGAGGTCCCCCCACCCCCCAGCTCCGGAGCCTTACCTTGGACAGCTGCAGACTGAAGGGGGGGATGTGGACCCGGCCCAGCCTCCTGAGGGTCTCCAGGGTCAGGGCGGCCGTGAGGCTGGTCAGGAACTGGACCAGGGTCAGGAACCTGAAGTGGTAAGAACTGATGAGGAACTTGAGCAGGATGTTCAGGGACCCGGAGAAGATCCCGTGCGCCACGGCCACGGAGATCCCCAACAGGCGGCTCCGGAACACGTCCATGGTGGGGGGGTGGAGGACCACTGAAGGAGAACCGGGTCGGTCCCGGACGGGTCGGGTTTTACGCGCCGCAGCTGGACGCAGAGAAGACTCGGTTCTTCCTGCTGGAGCCTCAGACCGGGTCGAACTGGTCCTGCTGACCGGGTCCAGCAGACTGAGGGCTGCAGCAGATCCTGTGAGTGCGCGCGCGCAGCCACTCAGGAGAAAATACCGCAGCGCCCCCAGCTGCGCGTGCGAGGGGGAGGGGTCTGCTCCCCGGGTCTGACGGGTTCTGAAGAGGTCCAGATGGCTCCGTGAAGCGTTCTGGACATTTTCAGAGAAAATGAAACTTTGGATCCGAACCTGGACCTGAGTCAGAACCTGGACCTGAGTCAGAACCTGGACCTGATTTACCCACAGAGGAGTCATAATCTGGTCCTGCAGGTTCTGCAGACTTCTGAGGACCAGAACCAAGTGGAACGAGTTATTAAATAAAAAGTGAACCCAGATGTTAAATTCAGTTTATTTCTGCAGCTCCAGCAGATGTGGACTCTGAAGAGAAACATTCACTGAGTCAGTAAAAGTTCTGTATCTGAGGAAGAAGCAGGTTGAGTTGAATCTTCACTTCATCAGTCTCTCATCCTGAACCAGCACAGAGGAGACAGTGGGAAGAAAAACTCCCTTTAACAGGAAGTAGAGAGACACAGAATGACATGTCCAGGTGAACTTTCTGTAATCCAGGTGAACTTTCTATAATCCAGGTCTACTTTCTATAATCCAGGCGTACTTTCTATAGTCCAGGTGAACTTTCTATAATCCAGGTGTACTTTCTATAATCCAGGTCTACTTTCTATAATCCAGGCGTACTTTCTATAGTCCAGGTGAACTTTCTACAATCCAGGCATACTTTCTATAGTCCAGGTGAACTTTCTATAATCCAGGTGTACTTTCTATAGTCCAGGTGTACTTTCTAAAGTCCAGGTGTACTTTCTATAGTCCAGGTGTACTTTCTATAATCCAAGTGTACTTTCTATAGTCCATGTGTACTTTCTATAGTCCAGGTGTACTTTCTATGATCCAGGTTTACTTTCTGAAGTCCAGGTGTACTTTCTATAGTCCAGGTGTACTTTCTATTGTTCAGGTGTACTTTCTACTGTCCAGGTGTACTTT